CAGACTGAGCAAAATAAGAAAGTCTATGTCTTTTCCGATCTGTTTTCCCAGGTCCGTTGATGCACCAACCTCCAGTCAAATCGGTGGAGATATTAAGATAGAACCAAAGCCGTAAGAAGCACATTCGAATTCCATCATCTCATTTTGTACATGACTACCTCAATTCTTCTTTAGTGATCCTCCTAAGGGCCCGAAAAGTCACACAGTTGGTGAAGCAATGAAGTGCATTGACTTCTATCTTCTTTGGGGCATCGTGTTCTTGGACATCATATCTGTTGTGCTACTCACGTCGACTTACAAGGTATGTTGGAAGCGGACACTCGTTTTCGATTTTGCTACTACTGTTTCAGTGTTCCCTAATGTAGCATCCAGATAAAATATCTTGCACAGTGGTATGTGTTCTCACAGAGTTGCATTTTTGCAATACGCTGACTGTTATTGCCGGTCCTTGTCTCGCACGCTTAGGCGAACGATGGAATTATTCCAATGCGTCCGGTTAGACTGATAACAACAACTCAAACAGTTCCTTACATTTTGCTAGTTTATTTCTGTTGATCGTCTAAGTCAGCAGATTGAATAGATTTGCTGTCCATTTTCAGATTTATGGACTTCAAAGCAAGTTTGATGATCAATTTCTGTCTGCCGTTGCAACTGTCAGTGCGGCCTTTAACTGTTTGGGTCGTGTTTTCTGGGGGTTCATGGTGGATCGCTTTTCCTCCAAGGTGGGTTTCTTAACTTTCCCATCGGGCCTGTCATCACTTTTTAGTAGGCTGCGTCTTTCCTTTGATTTGATATTAATTTGGAGAAAATGCTCTCATAACCGCCAGAAGAAATAGGGGTAACGTTTTGCCAACAAATGCAGCATGCGTTTTACTCAATGAAATGAGGTCAAAGCCACAAGTTCTCCAGTGTCTTGACAAGAATCTCACGTTAATGCTAACGAAAGAAGTACTCTTTGGCATTTCACTTGAGATTTATTTGAAGCTTCATGCTGCTGTGCTTTGCACTGTACATGGTCAAACTCGAACCCTTCCATTTTAGGATTTCCATTCCTTTACTGGTGATATGTGGTGATGTTGGTCATTAAAATTTGCCTCACCTTGATTTCCACACAAAGACGCCTTTGATAAATCAAAAAGCAGAGCTTTGCATTAGTAACTTGGAGTGAAATCTTAAAGTCAAATGCTTTGATTCTAGGATTTATCATCCACTACGATAGAATGCTTCTTCATTTTTGTAAGAGAATTCAGTAAATCAGTAATGTCAAGTAATGTGTATCAGCCCAACTTGCTCCGACAAAGTGTATTTGTTGGTGGCCCAGTGCAGGAATTCGACTAAAGTTAAATAAGCTACACAAGTGGAGAATTCTATCGAATCTTTAGGAAAGTACTTATTTGATTTGTTTTGAAATCTACAACTGTCTTTAGCCAAATAATGTGTGGGAGATGATAATGTGACGAGGGCGTGTAACTTGTGTACTTTTATTTAAAATAAGGCATGAAATTTCACGCATTGAATGTATTACAAGACTTAAATAATGGTCCACTTTAGTGTCTGTGCATCCCCGTTCTGAGTTTAGTTGACTCTATATTAAGAAAATCTTCATATGGACCTCTGCATTTGATCACACACAATGCTATTTTCTGCAGTATTGTGAAACTTTTTAATAACGATGATATTTTTAATGGTCAAATGCAAGAAGGCGTTGGATTTTACGATAACCAGTGACCTGACTCGCCAGGCCAATAAACTCCCACGCATTCCACTCACCACACTCAAACAAGATGCAAGCATACTTGCTTTAGTAAACACCGATTAAGCAACTGCGGCATGCGCGAAAAAAAATTTCTTTAATTTAAAACATGAAAGTACTAACCCCAGAATCACAAAGACTGGTTGGCTGATATGGCAAGGGTATAGGGCTCAATTCTCTCGGCGCTACGTAGGCAGTCGTCATAATAGTGGTTTGAGTTAGCATCGAGAGATATGGTGGTGAAAAAGGCGACACACAATT